CCCAGGTTCCCCTTGTGTCCCAGGGGATTTTGAATCCCTCGTGTGGCTGATTTATCCCCTGAAACCTCACACTCTGTCCTGTGTGCCATCGAGTGAGGAATCAGATGGGGAGAGAAACCCTGGTCCTGAGACCTGGGAAATGATTTCTGGCTGAGGCGTGCCTGTGCTCAGCTGCTGTGGGATTGATTTTATGCACAGTGAGCAGAGAAGCTGTTGGGGCCCTCGGCAGGGAAAGCAGATGCTCTCCTGGGGTTCTGCCCCCGGGGCGATCACTGCTGCTCCTACTGGACCATGTCTAAGTCAGCTTTGCTCCCTGTGGTCACGTCCGAGTGTCCTGAGAACAGCGACCTGCCATGTCGTGTCCTGTCCCTCATCTCAGCTCTGAGACCCACCCATGGCTCTGATAACTCACTCTGCCCTGTTTTCACAGATAGAACGTCCCGCTACGATGTAAAAATCCCTCAGTGGAGATGCCATACATGTCAGAAAGTCTTTACAATTATCTTGTTTAAAGAACACAGGCTACAAGGAAAATTATGTTTTAGAAATAGTACCATGGCAATGCAAAATTAAAAGAGAGCCAGAGTTGGACACAACTTAGTGATTTAACAGCAACATCTTCTTCAGTTAAATTTAGGCATCTATTTTAAGTGATGAGCTTAGACTTCTAGTAATCCATGAACACATTATGGCTCATTTAAAATCTCAAAGTCACACATCCACTGTGTAACACTCACATGCACTACAGGGTAAGGTACAGTTGACTGTTATTTCCCATCCAGACACATCCTGAAGGGTGTAATTTCAAAACCACTTTGGGGAAAGTTGCCTCTTCAGAGCTCTGATCACCAGGTCAGGATGTGTGTTTGTGGCAGGACACCAGGGGGTGATCGGAGGCCTTTCCTGAGTGTCTGGACCTGTGAGAGCAGAGACCAGTCCCCTGGTACTTGCTGGTGCTTTTTGCTCAGGGTTCCCAACTGTGACCTCCCTCCCCCAAGCCCCAGGCAACCCCACGTCTGACCACAGCTGGCCTCCCTCAGGCACAGGAAGCTGACCCAGGTCCCAGAGGTCATCAGAGCATTGTGGGAGTTGGGGTGAGGACGGTCATTTGCATGAAAGGAGCCTCCCCCTCTCAGAGTATGAAGAGGGAAGGAGCGGCGTGGGGACGCGCTGCTCAGCTGTGGGGCCACAGAAGGCAGGACGCCCTGACCGTGTCCACCATGGCCTGGTGCCCTCTGCTCCTCACCCTGGCCGCTCTCTGCACAGGTGACTGGATGGGGGGACAGGGGAAGCGCCTTGGGAAGACTCACGGGCCCCGCTCCCTGCTCTCGTGCCTGGACCCCCGAGTCACCATCTCTGTCTCTCTCCCTTCCAGGATCCTGGGCCCAGGCTGTGCTGACTCAGCCGTCCTCCGTGTCCGGGTCCCCGGGCCAGACGGTCAGCATCACCTGCTCTGGAAGCAGCAGCAACGTTGGTTATGGTAATTATGTGAGCTGGTATCAACAGCTCCCAGGATCGGCCCCCAGACTGCTCATCTATGGTGCAACCAGTCGAGCCTCGGGGGTCCCCGACCGATTCTCCGGCTCTAGGTCTGGGAACACAGCCACCCTGACCATCAGTTCGCTCCAGGCTGAGGACGAGGGGGATTACTACTGTTTATCTGCTGACAGTAGTAGTTATAATGGCACAGTGCTCCAGGTCAGGGGGGAAGTGAGACAAAAACCTGCTTTCCTCCAGACATGGGCCTCCTGTGGCTGAAACATCTCTGTCAAAGCAGACACTGTAGCAGCAGTTCTGAAATGGACATAAATCGTATTTCATTTCACACGGTGGGAGCAAGAATGTTCGGCCGTATTTCACAGCTTACTGCCAAAGTTTTCACCCCAACGCCCTCAGCTGCTCTTCCCAGTCCTTCTAATCCATGTACGACCATTTAGTGGAAAGCAAATTTGTTCAAACCACCATGTTCAAACACTGTCATTTTAATTTCTGATCTTGAGTAGTGTGTTTTCCTATTATTTTCAACGGATAATTTAAAAGAATCTCAACTTAATGGCAGTATTGTTAGTTGTCGTCTATAAGGTTGCAGGTATATGAATTCTACCCCTGGTTATTGTTGGTTTCTCTCACACAGGATAGCTAAGCCCCCAGAGCTGGTTGGTGTGGGTGTCCACACCGCAGCCCTAATACCCTGGACTGATGAGACCATCAGTGGTGTCACGGCCCGTGTGTGGGGAGACCCCTGTCCCCCCCAGACCACAGGTGACGCTGTGGCTCCCTGCACCCTGAGCAGGGACATCACTGTCGCCGCTGTGCTCTGTCCTGGGACCAGCAGAAGCCAGCGAGGCCTCCTCAGTCCTCCTGTCCTACCACTCAGACTCCAGGAAGATCCAGGCTCCGGGGTCCCCGCGGGTTTTCTGGATCCAAAGGTGCCTCGGATGATTTAGGGCTACTATTCATCTCTATGCTGGATCCTGAGGCCGAGGCTGACTCTGACCACGCAGGCTGGTACAACAGGGCTTCTCACAGAGACACAGGCAGATGGGAACTGGGACGAGAACCTCAGCCTGCCAGGGGCTTGTTCTTAGAGAACTGTCTAATTTTAAATAAATTCCCCAGAATCAATGAATTCCTGGGGCATGTTCTAGTTCATAAGTCTACTCCCAATTGCACAGTCAGTTTTGCTGAAGTCTCAGAAAATGTAAACAGATTCTGATACCACTGAAGTGCACCCCGATCATCCGTGTGATCAAGAGAGCCGTGGAGCTGAGCTCCCTCAGCTGAGATCAGGAGCAGGAGGCTTTCCCAGATGTGCCTGCAGCAGTCTGTGGACCATCCCAGCAGGCGGATTGTCCCCAGGGCGTGAACTCTGCTCCTGAAAGGTCAGAGCAGAGACTCTGAGGAGTGAGGTGCACCGGTGATACATCGCAGGAGGCAGGGAACCCCGGGAGTGGTTCTCCTGACCCAAGGTGCTGGCTGTGTCCTGCCCTCTCCTCCTCTCCTCTCCACCCCATCGGAGCATTTCCTACTTCAGAGTCGGGGAGGTCTATGGACTGTCAGGCGCAGGGGCTCCACAATATATTCCCATGTCCCGCTGCCTATGATGCCCCCAATGAGCCCAGATCTGAGAGCACCATCTCCTGCAGAGGGAGCAGTAGGGACACGGGGATCACCATGGCAATGATGACCAGGGATGCCAGGCAAAGCCCTGCCTTTGTGACCCAGGACAGAGGTGAGGGACACTGAGAGGTTTGGCCCTGCTCTCCTGCTGCTGGTGGGTCCACATGCCCTCCTGGATCACTTTGGACCCCATCGTGATGAGGAGACTGGTCATCAGTGTCACACAGCTCACCACTAAACACAGCCACAAGGAATTCCTGTGTGATGGGGATGTCTGATGAAAGTTTGCCCTCTACTCCAGGGTGGGACCCATCACTGCCCTGAGCCTGACGGTGACATCAGCAGTGCTGGGTTAGGTCTCTGCGGTCACTTGTGCTGTTAAATCCAGGCAGTCTCACCTCCTCAACCAGGTCCATCTTTATGGGGTCCATGAAATTGTCTGCCTTTCTCTCTGGCCTCCAAATCCAAGCAGAATCCCCATGTGCCCAGATACACAGGGTCCCTCACAGGTACTGAGCAGGTTGCCGAGGAAGCAGAAGTAAAGCATCTGTGCACTGGAGCCCCAGGGGGCCTCTCCCATCCCCCGCACATTCCTCTCCTGCTCCAGGCTTTGTGCTCTGCGTGAACCCTGACCCTTAGGTAAGCTGGGTCCTCCCTTACCCCAGGGATTGCTGCCCTCCTCTCCACGTACTGGAAGACCCTCCCCAGTAGGACTCGACTCTCAGACTCCACATTTGCCCATATCCTCGTCTTTTGCCTCATGGTCTCTCCCACTTTTCCCTCCCTGGTCCCTTGTTTGAGATGATATTGGATAAATGTCACTATTTTGGACACATACCTTATAAACTCACCTCCATTAAATCTCCATGGATTCTAACAATTGAAGTTTAGAAGGTTAGACTTCACTATGTCAGTTAAGATCAGGTAATGGTCATAAGGGTTTCTCAACTAGAGATGAAACAGGAGCCCAGACAAGGATGAGATTCCCATTTATAGGCATAATCTTTTACACCAAACATTTAATATAGAAAGATTACAAAATTGGACTAAAAATGTCTTTAAATATCTGAGTCAAAAAGAAGCACTGTGAGGACCATGATCAAGGCTAAATAAGAACCCCTGGAAGAGATCAGGAAGAGATTTGTTTTACCTGAGAGCCTCCTATTCTCTTTGCAAAGAGAGAAATAAGAACACAGCCATGCAGCCTGGGCTGGGAAGGTCCTGGGAGGCCCTGCAAATTCAGCCTTGACTACGTATCAACCTGGGAAGGAAACTCAGACAGAATCATAACCAGGCACAACCCATGGGCACGCTGGGTGTTAGAATCCTGGGACTTGGTTCAGGTGATTGTGTTCTGTAGTGAACCCACGAGCTAGGCAGAGCAAACTCAGACATCAGGGAATCCTGAAATTCATTACTTTATCAGCATACCGTTCAGGGGTCTGAGGTCATTAGGTACCTTGAAAAATCAGTGACCAGGTCCAAACTCGATGAAGGGGACTCATTCTACTGCCCTGGGCGGTGACATCAGAATGACCCTCCTGCGAGTGTGAGAAAGCCCTCCCAGGAGGCTGTGGAGGGAAGCGCGGGAGGAGCAGCTCTGAGTCCGGCAGGGGGCGCTGTGGGCCTGGTCCTGAGAGCGCAGGGTCCTGGCCAGGCAGGCTGGCGCCTCCTCCCCTGGTCTTACCCACGCGGGCAGCGGGGTCCTCACTGGAGGGTGACGTTCCTGCACCTGGGCCCCCAGGAGATGCGGCAGCTCTCAGCTCAGAGCCACAGGCTTGCCCCTCAGTTCCTGCTCCTCTGTCCTGGGGTCAGTGCCCAGACCTGACATCCAACCAAGGACAGAGGGACGGTCATACAACAGAAATGAACTTCCTTCAGTAACCTCGACCTCCAGGGATAGCTGGACAGGGGATGAGAGACCCCTGCAGAGGGGCTGCCCCACTGCCCACAGAACGCCCGGTGTTCACAGTGGGAGAGGGATGCAGGCAAGGACCCTCTGTCACCACCTATGTCATTTCAAAATGTTCCCTATTGTGTTATTTGGCAATTTCAACATTTTGTAGTGAACTATGGAAACTGATATTGTTTCAGTTTTGGGGGCTTCCTTACTCGTTCCTTCCTGTTATATTAATACTTTATATTCACACTTGTAACATGAAATATATGAAATCACAAGTTCCACCAAACTGTCATCAATATGTTTGTATAAGAAGAAAAAAATTAAGTAGGAATATATATTATTCACCTCTACGAGTTGAGGTTTTCAAACACCTCTGAGAAATTTCATGGGAATTTTATTATATAGCTACTTTAGCAGCAAATCTAACATAAATACAAAGTAAGAATAGTATTTACATTTTTATGTCAAAGAAACAAGAGATGAATAAGACTTCTACAGTCTCTTCCACATGTTAACACTTGAGATGTCTGAGCTCTTTCTCGTCCTCGTTGCCCCCACATCCCTCCTCCCTCCCGAATCCATCAGCTCCACAGCAGAACCACAGGGAAGGGAGTTTTAAAATGTCCATGGTGCTTACCACACCTACCGTTTTCACACATGGTGCTTTTCTATTTCTGATGATGAAACATGTATGCCAACTTTGTTGGAACTGAACTTGCCAGCTATTATAATTGCATGATGCCATGGTGACCTTTCTCCCTAAAAACCACAGGTACTCCACTTGTCATGGCTGTTCATAGCACAGGAGGCTGTCACCCCAAGCCTGGCCCTGTGTCTCTACATGTCACCCCCCACCTCCAGGCCTGGGCCCCCCACCGCTGGGACTAGAGACACTTTACAAGGTTGTGTTCAAGGGCCACGCCTTACCCTTCACACCAGACACAGTTTCTGGATACTCTACTGGGCTCAGGGCTGGAGGGACAAGGACGGACAGCATCACAGAGACGGACACAGCGGTTCCCTCAGAAGGACAGAGTATTCTAAAGATGGGCTCAGGTTTGGGAAAGGCTAGATTATTGGGGCAAGAGAAGACGACTTGCAAACTCCTCCTTCAGCCTCAGACTCTCCAGGGAGCAGATAGAGGACCGAAATCACCAAGGTCACGGGAGCACGTTTGCTGAAAGACGGCGCCCCATCACTTAGGGGCTCCTTCCGGTTCTGTCCCCGCTCTGTGTGAGGTCCAGCATCTGCCTCCTTCAAGTCCCCCCGCCCCAGGGACCTCAGGTGACCTGGGCCGGGAGAGAAGGAAGTGGTTTGCCTGAGGCCCCTCCTCCTCCTGACGGGCTGGAGGCATGAAAAGGCCCAGGACCCCACCTCCAGCCCAGGAGGCTGAGGAGGCCGCGTCCCGGGAGGGTCCCCACCGTGGCCTGGACGGTGCTTCTGCTCGGGCTGCTGGCTTACGGCTCAGGTCAGGGGTCGGGGCTCTGCACCCTTGGGGCTCCTCCACGCAGGGTCTCAGGGCACCTCATCGCCATAACAACCCCTTTTTCTCTGTCGCTCTTAGCGGTGGAAGCTCAGACTGTGGTCCAGGAACCGCCACTGTCAGTGTCTCCAGGAGGGACGGTCACCCTCACCTGTGGACTGAG